GTTTCACCAGCATCACTTGCTGAACAAATTTTCTTTGTTCCATTGTATCTTCTTTGCTCCTTTGTCAAAAATTAGGTGTCCATAAACTTGTGGGTTTATATCTGGGTTTTCTATTCAAAGCCACTGGTCTGTATGTCTATTTTTGTTCCAGTACCATGCAGTTTTGATTATTATGGCTTTGTAGTACACTAGCTGATGCTTTTTTGAAAGAAACACTGGCCTGGCACCAGGGCCTTGTCGGAGTCTCTTGCTGCTCCAGGGCTGAGGGTTCAATCCTCTTGGAGTCTGGTATCCCAGGAAGGGTGCGTATGTGCTGAAGTCATCATTCCTGGACGCTTATGAAGTCACAGCCCCCCCCCCGACCCCCCAGCACCAGTTGCTCCTCTTGCAGCCCCATGTGGCCAGGTTGTCTGGGTGCCTGAACTGCCCACCGAGAGCCAGGCAGCAGAGCTGGGACTCGTAGCTGCCCCACTGTCCACTCCTTCAGGGAATGGGTTGTCTTCAGAGGACATTCACTGTAATCATGGTGGGAGGGGATCTGTGTGGGCTGGAAATTGCTTGCCCTCTTGGCCAGACGCCCCAGTAGGGCGTGGGGGCCGGGGTGAGGTTTGAATTTTGGCTTTGAGCAGGTCACGGCACGACCATCTCTGCATGGCACAGCAGCTCTGTCCACTCCTCCGCAGTGTTTGGGGAGACAGTGGTGTGAAGAAGAATACAAGGACAGGTGGACAGGCTCTCAGGGCCAGGACAAACCGCAGTACATCTGCTCGGATCTCTTCTCGGTGGACGAGCAGTTGACTTGTCCAGAGACAGAACAGATGTGTGTTTATCATGTGAGTTCAGGATATTCTGAGGCTGGATGTTGTGGCTTTTGGTGGTGATTATCATGTAGTATAGACCGGTGTTGAGGTAGAAGTTGATACACCAGGAATTTAAAAAAATAACAAACTCTTAGATTAGGAGAACAAAATCGTGGCCACTAGGAAGGAAGGGTTACGGGTGGACCAGTCAGGTAAAGGGGTCAGTCACTGGGTGGAAACCAGACTCTTGCTGGGCTCACTGTACAGCAGATACATGAGCGGAGTCGTTCACATATAGACAGGCTCACATGTCCATCTGGAGCCTGGACTATGTTAGAGGTCAGTGTTGTCTCAAAAATATAAAATACTGAAGATGAAAATCTTAAAACATGTACAAAAGGTTTAAGGAATAATGCAATTCTGTAATTCTGAATACCCTTTAATCCTCTGCTGAGGGGAGCAGCAGGCGGGTCAGGAGAGGTCTGCTGTGCCCTGCGGGTCACCTCCGGGGCAGGGATTGAGCTCACAATGAAGTGGCAGTTGCTAGCTTTGCAGTGCGGTGCTCCAACCCCCTGTGCCGCCAGGGAGGGCTGAATTTTTGATATTTTTATTGAAATAATACATAATACTTATTATATAACACATGTATATAGGTTGAAATGATGATGTTCTAGATATATTCTGTTAGATAAAACTTACAATGAACTTGATTTCCTCTGCTTCTTTCTAATTCTAAGAATGTAGTTACTAGAAAATTTGGTATTATATATGTGGCTGTATGACAATTCCATGTGACTGCTCTAGCGTGTAGGCCTATACCTCTGGGAGGCAGGGTGTATGCATGTTCAGATTCATTAAATGCTACTAACTTGTTTGCCGAAGGAATGATGACAATATTTTCCCTTTCACCAGTTCACAGGTCCTTTTCACACAATTGAATTGAAAAGGGTGACTTAGAATCCTTTAAGTATTGCAATCTCCGTCATCCATATTCATACATGTCTGGATATAAACACACACACATATTTTTTTTGTATTTATTGGTGTTTATCAGTAAATTACATTAACAAGCTATTTTTTGCATTTGTGGGATAGTTGACTATCCAGGTGCAGGAGTGGTGAGAGGCTTCACCAGAGACAGAGTAGGGAGCAGAACAGGCTGATCGACAAAGTCCACTGCTGAGGGGAGCAGCAGGGAGACAGGAGAGGTCTGCCACGCCATGTGGGCCACGTCCTTGGCTGGGATAGAACTCAGGCTTCAGTGGCTGCGGCTAGCTTCACAGGGCTGTGCTTTTAGCCCTGTGCCACGAGGGAGGGCCCGACTGTCAGAATTTTAAAAAATTATATATTGACTTGGCCTTGGTGACTTTTTTTTCTTACAATGAGCTTTTAAGATTCACAGTCTTAGTAACTTTCACATGTTGACCACAGTATTAACTGTGGTCACCATGCTGTACATTACAGGGCCACTACTTTTTATTTTAAAACTGGGCATTTGTGCCTTTTAATCACCCCCACTGCTTTGCCCACCCCATAAACCCACTTTTGGTGACCACCGCTCTGTTCTCTGTATCTGTTACTGGAGCTTGGGTCTGGCTGTTCACCCCTTGAAAGCCAAAACTTGAGAGACGAGACTGTTGGGAGGAAGTCCACAGCTCAAGGCTATCTTGAAGGCCACCTCTCGAACTGGGACAGACGGGGACTTATCTGGGGGAGTACTAGTGAGGGAGATGCCCCCCTAGTGACATCATCGAGGCTAAAATGTCTGCATCAGACCTGCGATGTTGACCCATGTGGTTGGGTATATTTATAGTTCATTTTTATTGCTACGAGTATTCCCATACATGATCGTGTCATTTTCCTGTGGATAAATATTTAGTTTGCTTCAGTTTCGACGATTAGGAATCAAGTCAGTGTGGACCTTGTTACACATGTCTTTTGTTGCGAACGTGAAGTTATTTCTCTTGGGTAATTTCCAGGCGTGGAGTTCCTGGACCGCTGGGGCATGCTCAGCCATGGTACGGAGCTAGCATGTAGTTTCCAAAAGTGGGTTTCCTTCCCCCCAACAGCGAGTGGATGACAGTTCCGGTGACTGCACTATTAACAACTTTGGCATTTCTGATGTATGTGTAGTAGTATACTGGTTTTTTTTAAAAGATTAATTTATTTATTCATACAGAACTGGGGTACAGGCCAGAGGTGCAGGGGCGGCGAGAGGCTTCACCAGAGACAGAGTGGGGAGCAGAACAGGCAGATCGACTAAGTACACTGCTGAGGGGAGCAGCGGGCGGGTCAGGAGAGGTCTGCCTGGCCATGTGGATCTCCTCCGGGGCAGGCGGGGATCAAACTCATGCGGAAGTGGCTTTAGCTTCTCAGTGCTGTGCTTTAACCCGCTGCACCCCCAGGGAAGGCCTATATTGTGATTTTAATTTGTACTTTGGTGAGTACTTTTCATAAGCTTATCAGTCACTTGGAGATGTGTTTTACACAACGGCCGTTAATTCCTTAATGCATATTCCTTCCCCTGGTTTCTCTCTCTTCTTATTGATTAATAGTAGTTCTTTATAGAATATGGATATGAAACTTTTGTCGGAGATAGGTAATAGAAATAACTGGATCACTCTTTGACTTTTTTAACCTGTTGTGATACTCCCTGATGAACAAAAGTTCATAATTTTAATCAAGTTCAATTTATCAAAATTTTTCTGTTAAGATTAATGTCTTTTGTGTCCTGTTCTTTGAAGTCTTTTCCTATTGTAAGGTCATAAAGATAGTGTCCTTTGTTATCTTTATTCCATTTACTGAATTTTATACCATTTATTGAAGTTCATTGCCTAGAAGTGGCACCTATGTCATTAGTCAAGTGACATGTAATATATGTCTATTTTTTTTTTTTAAGAACTGGGGTACAGGCCAGTGATGCAGGGGTGGTAAGAGGCTTCACCAGAGACAAAGCGGGGAGCAGAACAGGCAGATCGACAAAGTACACTGCTGAGGGGAGCAGTGGGAGGGTCAGGAGAGGTCTGCTGTGCCATGTGGGTCACCTCCGGGGCAGGCGGGAGTTGAACTCATGTGGAAGTGACTTTAGCTTCTTAGCGTTGTGCTTTAACCTGCTGCACCACCAGGGAGGGCCCCCACTGTTATTTTTATTGTGATTACATTGAATCTGTCAATTACCATTGGGATAGCTGACATATTTATAATATTAAAATTTCCAGTTTTCAAGAACGATACATTGACATATTTGATCAAGTTATCATTAACATCTCTCAGTAATGTTTTAGAATTTCCTTTGTGCTCAGCTTATATGGCCCTCATTAGATTTTATTTTCTCTTCTAGTTACTCTGGCTAGAACTTCTAGTTTGTGCCAAATTTGCTGAATAGCCATGGCAAAAGTTAGCTTGACCTTACAAGACACATTTTCAGCTTTTCACCAGTCAGTGTGATGTTAGCTTTCCAGAATGGCTTTTATGATGCTAAGGCAGGTTTCTTCTGGTTTTAGTTTGAATGCTTTCCCCCCCTCAATCATGAGTGGCTTTTGCATTTTGTCAGGTGCTTTTCTATATCATTTGTGGTGGTCATATGTCTTTGTCTTTCATTTTGTTAATGCAACATATTATATTGACTAAGTTTCATATATTGAACTCTATTGCAGGTATAAATCCTACTTTGTGGTGACATAGGATCTTATTAATGCGCGATTGAATTTGGTTTGAAATTATGAAGATTTCAGTGAAACATGGGATGCAGTTACCTTTAAGATAAAGATATTTTTAAAAATGAAGATCCTGGGATGTTGTCATCCCACAGTCACTTTATTTTTGTTTTTTTTTTAATGTGTTATTGAATTTTGTTGAGAATTTTTGAATCCATATTCTTCAGGCTATTGGTCTATCATTTTCTTATGTTTTTGTCTAGTTTTGGTTTCAGAGTTCTAGCCATATTGATGACTTTGAGAAAGTTCTTTTCAAGTTTTGGAAGTCTTTGAAGTGGATTGGTATTAACTATTCCTTAGTTCTGTGGAATTTTCTAGTGACATCATCTAATTCTGGACTTTTCTTTGTTAGCAGTTTCTTTTACTATTAAATATCATTTTGGTTGCATCTGTTTAGAGTTTGAATTTGTTCATCATTTAGCCTGAGTGGTTGTTGGTTCCAATTTGTCATTTTCTTCTAGGTTATCTAATTTTTTTTGGCATAAAAATTTTCATAATAGTTTCATAGTCTTTTGTTATTTCCATGACATTAATTATAATGCTGCTCTCATTTATAATTTTATTTATGTAAGTCATCTGTTTTTTCCCTTAGTCTAGTTAAGGATTTATCATTTTTGTTGTTTTTCTTTAAAAATAGCCTTAAATCTTTGTTGATTATTTTCCATTTTTTTTACTCTCTGTTTTATTTAATTGTACCCTATTCTTTTTTATTTCCCTTGTTCTGATCACTTTGGCTTAGTTTTTTTCTTTTTCTACTCTGTTGAGATGTAAAGTTAGGTTGTCTGTTTTATTTGTTCCTTTGATTAGAACACATTTCCCGTTTCTTGTATACTTTGCTATCTTGTTGGGCATTTGGGAAATTAGCTATTTCTCCAAGTCTTTTAGGTTTAGCTTACTATAAAAAGAACTTTTTAAAATCAGCCTGTCCAGGCATTCTGGAGATCTAATCTTAAATCTTTCTGGGAATGGATGATCTCTGAACTTGTGCGGAATCTAATAGAAAAGGTTTACTGGTTTTTAGCCTGGAGCGCACCCTGGTGTTTATGGTACTGCAGACTGGTGCATTTGCCTTTGTTCTTAAATGAGAGTCTGTTCCCTGGCTGCTATGTTGCTATTTTCTCGCAACTTCTTGAAGATACCATAACATTCTCTATGTCTCATTTGGTGTTAAAGAGTTGGTTTATTTGACAGTTCTTGGTGGATGATCCGTCTTTGTCTGCATTTAAGTTTTGTTGTTCCCGAATTTTACTACTGTATGTCTAGGTATAGGTTTCTTTCATTTACCAAGGCAGATCTATTGTATTTCCTAAATATAAAAATTCATTCTGGAAAATTCATAATTATTTCTTTTTTGAATGATGAATGATGCATTTCCCCCATTTTCTTCTTTCCTGCCATTTGGAAAGATGTTAGAATTCTTATTTTATTTTCTAGATTTCCTCAAGTGTCATATACGTTTTTAATCACTTTTTATCTTTCTGTTACATTCAGAGAAAATTATTCAGATTTCTCTTTCTGCCAGGTTAGTCATGCCTTCTTGGTTATTTAACACTTCTATTGAGCTACAAAACCAACCCCAAAATTATTAATAGTGTCTTGGTCCTTAAACATAATTTCAAGATTCTTTTTTTTTTTTTTTTGGTTAAAATTTTCATTATACTACTTTCTAAAGTGATAGCTAATAATTCCAGCATGTCAAGTCCTCAAGGGCCTAATATGGTTGCTTTAAAAAAAAACTTCTGATTCTTGAAATAGGACTTACTTATCATGATATGTAATTTTAACATTATGAAGAAACCCGGGGTTGTTACTTTTCTAATTTTTTTTTTTCAGAATACCATCCCAGGGCCACTTTTAGTTAAATTTTTCATTTTGGGGTTTCCAAGACTACAGAGTTACTATAAATTCTAATCCCAAACCTATTTAATAGGGACTTTCTCTCATTTTGAGTTTGACTCACACCCAACTAGCCATTAGAGAAACATTCCCACTGTACTCTTTTGATCATGTCATTCTTTAAAATTTTTTTTCTATGTTTACATCATTGTTCATTTTCTAAAAATAATTATTTTACTCTCCCCCTCTCTTTAGCCCCCCCATTCCTCCCTCCCTCTGACCCCTCTCTGTCCCTCTCCCCATATAATTGTCTGTTTCTATATTGTTTTGTTGTGTTTTCTATTGTAATAACAAAATACAATCACCCCATCTTATTTGATTCTCTTAAATTCCTCCTGTAAGTGAAACCATTTACTATTTTTCTTTTTCCTTCCAACTTATTTCACTAAACAAAATCCCTTCTAGCTCCATCCATGTTGCTGTGAATGGCATGCATTTATCTTTTTGATTGCTGGGTAGTATTCCATTACATATATACCACATCTTCTTGATCCAATCATCTAGTTTCGGGCATTTGGATTGTTTCCAGGATTTACCTATTGTAAATAGTGCTGTGATAAACATAGGGGTGCCTGTATCTTTTTGAAAGCATTTTTTACTCCCCAAAGTCTTTAACATCCTCTCATGCCACACCCCAGGGACCTGAGTAACTGTAGAATGATCGCTAGTCATTTAAAGGCTCACCACACAAGGAGGGAGACAATGTCAAATTCAACCTTAGTTTATATTTTACCTACTTTTACATTTTGCATTCAAGCTTCATTAATTACTCACCATAATCGACTAAGTGTTTTCTATTCAGCAGACACTGCTCTTGGCCTTAAGTAACCAGTGACAATATAAAGAGACAAAATAAAAACCCATGGGCTTCATATCCAAGAGGAAGAAATCTTTCTAGTCTCATCATCACCAGGAATATGGCCTGAGCTTCTGCTGTACCTGGTGTGAACAGAAGCAACCAGATGTCACTGAACAGGCAGGGGCCAGAGATGGTCCTTATTTCAGGGGCATGTTTTGGGCAGCTGGTTCTGCAAGGAGCCATCACTCTTCAGCCCCTACTCAGGAAACTGGTGGATTTTACAAACAGTGTTTCCAAAAGTTTGTGTTTTACTTTAGAGACAGGAAGAAATCACATTTCTGCCCAAAGTATAGTTCTGACAAAAGCCACTTATGCCACCCTCAGGAGTCACTTTCCTACCCAGGCCTGGAATAGAAATTGCCCAACTTGCAGGTGAGGATCACTCAGGGACCTTGCTACTTTCCTCAGGTGCTAAGTCTTGTGGGAAGTCAAAAGCAAGCATTTGAAACATTTAGTGGGCAATTGCATTGGAGATAAAAAATGCAATTTGAGCCAGAAAAGCAACATCTGTAGCACTGGGCTGGAGGAGCAAATTTCTCTGGGGAGCTGAGAGTTATGATGGACATTATCATATAATTTGCATAAGGGCCACCTGACCTCACAGTCCACACCACATGCATGGGCCACCCTGAAGGTCTCCACACTGAGGGAAAACCCAGCAGGCCTCATGGAGAAGAATCAAGGCTTGCCTTTGCCACAATAACTCACTGGCTTTTGGTCTTGATTTTTAGATTGAGAAGACGGAAGAGCTACATCAGAGATTCCAAAAGGTTCTGAGTGAGATAAGCAAACCCACAAATGATTATGAACTGAAAATAGCCAATAGGCTCTTTGGAGAAAAGACTTACCTCTTCCTTCAAGTAAGTTTTGCTGCATCTGTCATCTCGTGAGTGCCATTCACACATGTCCAATGGCCCAGTTAGGACTGCGGGTCCCGGGCCAGCTGCCTGAGAGCACTGCTGGCTTGGCAGCTTCACTAGGTGCTCCCCACCTGTCCTCCAGACATCCAGGCCTTCAGGAACTTCTTTTTGACCCTGACCCTGACAGGCCAAATCTCACTTTTGCTTTCCCTTTGTTGTATCTGCAAAAAAAGTGCATTAAAGTACTCAGTGATTTGCTTAGGATCTAAAAATCCCTGCTTACAACATTAGTCATTTTGATATACAGATAAATTTCTTTAGAAATGTTGACAGGGAATAAATAAAAAATTTAAGCTCTTGCTGTTCCTTCCCTGTTTCTCTTAAAGAAATACTTGGATTATGTTGAAAAATATTACCATGCTTCTATGGAGACTGTTGACTTTGTCAATGCAGCAGATGAAAGTCGAAAGAAGATTAACTCCTGGGTGGAAAGCCAAACTAATGGTAGAGTATGACTGGGTTGCTCATCGTAATCGCTCCTTGAGTCCTGCTGTGAGTGCAGACTGTGCTTGATGCTGGCTGGTGCATGCTGGTGCACGCCCTGGGGGCTCAAGCTGCAGAGCAGGGCTGAGCTCCAGGGTGGAGGAGGCACTGCAGGGGGGGGGGGTCTCAGCAGTGAGTCTCTGGGAAAACTTGGAGAGCCAAGGGGCCCAGGGAGGGAACAAATTCAAAGACATACTCAGTGGAGGATTATTTCATGCGGCTGTGGGTCATGCTTATCTTGGGGTTCCGGAGACTGGGCTCATGTCTGTCTTGGGCCCTCATCTTCCTTCGATCAGAGACTTTTGATGGAGACTCCATAAGGAAAGTGTTGTGGGGGGGGGTTTCCTCCTCTCTGTCAAGTGAGCAACGTTCAGCTCTCTGATCAAGACCTGCCGTTGTTCCTACAGCCCAGGTGTCAGAGCCTCGTGTCCACTTGCGAGCCAGGTGGGGGGATGGCAGCACTCAGTCCCTCCACAGAGAACTAGACCCTCAGCTCGTCCTCCCCACATTCCTGCTACGATACAAATACCCAAGACCTACCGAGAGGACTGTTAACATAGGAACACACTTTGGACACGATGACTGATAGGTTCTTTTTTGAGTTTCACAATGCATTTTTGTCCTAGTTTTGGGGGATAAGTCTGTTAAACCACAAGGCACATTTCCATCTCTACTTAGTCCAAAAGAAATAAAAAATTTGAAAAACAAGTTAAAGAGGGACTAACAAAGGGTGGGTTGAGTCTGAGATATGCTAATGCAGAGATTAAAAAAAATCATTCCATTTTTTTTTTTT